GAATGGTCTGCGATTTGTACGCTGCCATCAAGAATGGCTTGGATTGGATGGCGAGACTACAAGTGGCCATCGATGTGATACACGGTATTCGTTACCTTCACGGCCAGGGATTAGTTCACAGAGATATTAAACTGAAGAACGTTTTGCTGGACAACAAGAATAGAGCGAAGATTACAGATCTGGGCTTTTGTAAGCCGGAGGCCATGATGTCGGGCTCAATAGTAGGCACTCCCATACATATGGCGCCCGAACTCTTCTCCGGCCGTTACGACGGAATGGTCGACGTTTACGCGTTTGGTATACTCTTCTGGTATATATGTGCCGGACATGTGAGGCTTCCCTATGTCTTCGAACAGTGCCAAAGCAAAGACCAATTGTGGACAGTAGTCAAGAAAGGTATGTCAGCAGAGATTGAAAGCCGTCAAACATGGATGTAATCAATACACTATATATTAGGCGCTCGACCGGAAAGACTGCCCCATTTCGATGACGACTGTTGGTCACTGATGGAGCAGTGCTGGAACGGCGACCCAACACTTCGCCCACTGCTCGGCAACGTCGAGGAGGAGCTCAACAAAGTCCAGGAGCACTATCGAGTCAGTCAACCGCCCGCCGGCTATGACAAGACTTTCATGCGAACCAAAGTGGTCAAAATTAAAACAAAAAATTAGATTTTATTTTATTTATGTAATTTTATATGTAGTTATTTTATATGGCATTTCAAAATCGGATAATAAAGTGTTATTTTTATTATAAATAGTTTCTGGTTTTGTTTGGTTTATGAAATGAATCTTTAATTAATGCAAATTTGTTTCAAAAATAGCTAAACTAAACGGCACAACATTAGGCCAAGTAGTTTAGCACATCTCTTGTGGTGGCGTCTCTTTCCAGATACTCTCGTTGTATCAGCTCTTCTATCCCTTTCTGTAAATTGCATTCAATTAGACATTAGAAACCAAAGTATCGAACAAATCATTCCAAATATCAATACCTTAATCATTGGAACGGTTGGCGAAAATTTGGCGCCGATATGGTTGAGTACTTCGCCCACCAGTTCCTGATGTTTGAGTGATTTTCGCATTTTCATTATACGAACAATCGCTGCCTATAAGTGCGTGAATTGGCGTGAATTTTTGAGAGATTTTATGGCGAAATGAGTGAACGCATACCTCAATGACAAATTTGCGGGACTCGTCAATCTGGCGGTGCGTCCGCTCGTCGTCCTCTTTGTCTACTGTTTTAATGGGAACATTAATATTGATTCTCAGTTTCTTGTTCTTGTAATTGGTGTTCAATTTCATAACATCTGTGGCCTTCAGTTCGCTCTCATCTTTAGTGGAGGCGACGCAGAGAAGTAGTTTGACTTTCAAAAAGATTTTCAAGATTTGGACCAAAAGTTCCACTTTAATGTCAGTGTTCTTCTGTATGTCTTCGATGGACATCTCATCGTATCGGTTGAACAGAAGCATAATTGCCATTTGGAAGACACTCGCCGTAAACACGAAATTTTTGCCGTTCGGACACCGGTACTGGATGTCGCCCCTGGACTTGGCGTACACCCACGTCAATTTGCGACCCTGGTGCTTATTGATATAGAATGCCTGGTAACTGCTGATTCCGGAGCCCAGCTGTCAATCACAACAATATATTAAAATCAAACCAAAAACAAAACGTTTGAATAAATACCTCTTCGGGAATAGTGAACGTGCAGTTGACGTTACCGAATGGAGAGGCGCTTCCACTGATCACTTTCACTGTCAGTTCGACTATTATAACGACAAAACATATTTTAGCGCTTCGTTTATAATAAGCAATCAATCGATGACTTACTCGACATATCGACGGCATTCTTGAACAGTCCGTCCAGTTCTTCGCTGAGTCGGATGTCTTGGTAGACGCGCTGCAGTTTCGAGGAGTACTCAACTCCACAGCATTCCTTCAATTTGGAAATAATGCTGCCCTCGGCGTCAGCGCTGGTCGACTGGTCCTGAAGTAGTCTTGTGGTCATTAACTTGAGATAGAAGTTATTGAACACATCCTTATCGGTGATGAACCGGAATATAATCACGGCTTGAGATAGTTTCTCCTCCAGTTCTGTCGGATCCATTTGTTTCACTTTGTTTTTCAATAACATATCGCAATATTTGGCTAACAGTTCGGGTGTTTTCTTCGAC